ATACTAGCAAAAAAAATGGAGGGAAATGGACCGGAAATGGTGTGAACAGCAAGCTTGCTGTCCACAACAGTAATGAGAAGGGCGGGAGCAACAACTTCTCTCGGCAGAACGACGGTCCGATCACACACGTGATCTGGTCCGTCACGGCTCGTGGACGGTTCGGCACAGCCACCGGCGTGTCCGGGCCGGGGTACTGTCTTCCCCTCTGTCACCCCGCGTTGCGCGTGTTTGTCTCGGGGCCCTTCGTCTCCCGCGCCGTCTATCGCTCTGGGATGGCTGACACATGCTGACATGCCCTTCTTTTTTTCCCTAGGTCGGCAGTCCCTCCGGCTGTCTCACGGGCCATCGACGGCCTGTTGGGACAATCGGCCCCTATCATGGGCGTCTCCACTGCCACGGGCGCCTACGCGCTCGTGCTTGTCGTCGCGTTCCTGTGCAGCTACGCACTCGGCGCTCGGCACGGTCCTGCCTTCCGTCAGGGTGCTGCAAAAAAAGTGGGACCTGCCCCAGCCCCGGCCCCTCCTGTCTGTGCAGCGTGCACCCCACCGCCGCTGCCAACACATGCACCAGGAAGCCAAGAAGACCATGAGGCGGTCCTCTGTTGGGTACGTCAATACCCAGTCTTCATATGTGGTACTCAGGCTAATCACACCTGTGGCATAAATATTAGGCAAGCAACATTATTTGCACGTACTCCTACAAGACAAAGGAGGAGCGCATTGCCATCAGCAAGGCCCAACGCACAGCAGCTCGTGCTGCAGCCGAGGGGGCTTGAGGCCTAGAATTACATACATAATAGCTTTATTTAGAACGCTCTGTAAATACATAAATGCATGATCCGACTAGCGAAACTGTCTTTTGATGGTTGGAGACTGTCTTTTATTTGATGAACTGTTGGTTGTCAGTCCAGATATAGTTAAAATTTGATGAAAAGACGTGCCCCGACTGTCCTTTTTTTGACCAACCGTCCTTTTTGTGGCCCGTGACGGCTTCGGAAATTGATGGCCAGTTCATCAAAGATGGTTTTTCGAGCGGCTTCCCTGCAAGTGTCACACTGGCATGGCAGCTCACCTCGCTCAAGCTCCCAGTTCGGATCAACGTACATAAATTACAACGCGCACGCAATGTGTGCATGTCAAGGACACAATATCTATACACATCAAGTCATCCTAGCTTTCCTCTCTTCCTCTCCCACCAACACACCCCATTTCAAGAACAGCACAATGCACCCCTTCATTGTCAATATGGTATCAAAATTTAGGTAAGTTATTTACATTTTCTATTCCTTCCTTATTCTTCTCCCCTTCCTTTCCTCATTTCCCCTCGGCGATGTGCACGCTCAGCGCTCGCGCACCATATCAGGCCCACGCGGCCTTGGTTTGAGTGATGGGACGCTAAGCGGGGAGCCAGCCCATCTCGCGCCCACCTCGTGCCCGCCGTGGGCTGAGCCCCCACGGGTCGGCAACGCGGCTCGCTCGTTTGGGGCGTCCGCGTCACACCGTGACGAACCGTCCTTTTTGGCGGTCCGAGCCCTACTTAGTCAGCGCACCATGGGACCCTGCCAATCTTAGTCAGCGAGGCATTTCTTCCCCGCTGACTAAGACTGGTGGGTCCCCACGGCCCGACTGTTAGTCAGCATGCAAGCAGAGCAGCCGGCGTAGGCCCGGCACATGAGTTGAGTGTGCCAAGCCCCTCGCAAAGTCCTGGGGTCCGACACATTCATAAAGATTCTTGAAGATTCTGGCTGGATGTCAAAGAAAGAATGAGAGGCTCACAGTGAAAATGGTAACAGAAAGTTGAAGAAACCTACTGTATTGATCTGTGCCAAATGTTGAAGATTGGGATATTTCAGTGGAAATCTTTGACAAAAGTCAAAGAACGTCAACAAAAGTTGGAGATTGTTGACAAACATTGACGAAAGTTGACGATCGTCAACAAACGCCGACGATCTGGGACTTTTGGGTGACATATTCATTGCAGGGGGTGGTATTTACATGGTAAGCCCTATTTTTGTCCATGGTGGGCCGTTATAGAGCAGATATGCAATATGCAACCGCAGATCACTTTTCGTGCGGGCGCTCTACTTGCCAAGACAGGAAACATCATGAACGGCGATAAAGCCGAAGGAGCTTGGCTGTGCTTGTGTAAGCACCACGAAATCGAAAAATCGCCCCAGGTACTCATGCTCCGGAAGCGAGCGTTCAGCTTGCCTGACGCTCGGATCCCTTGCCGACGACAGCTACGACCACACCTTTATACCCTTTTCGCGTCACGATTATGCGCTAGACACAGCCCGAGCGCTTATCTGGACATTTATCCCACCCAACACCAACGCCAGACCCCCACAACCTCTCTATCTTCAACATGGAAACCTCCCCAGACGCGCTCATTGACGGATTTTCATCCGAATCCACGGTTATTCGAGCAATCAGGGAGATTGGGTATGGGAGTGTATGTATATCTTCTCGGGATCTCGTCGAATTTTCGTTGACCCTGGAGCAGCTTGCAGGCATGGTCTCCAAAGTCTTCGAACACCCTTTCGACTTGACGAAAGTCCGTCTACAATCCCAAGTTCTCGATGCCACTGCTCGTTTCAGTGGGCCCATCGATTGTCTGACTCAAACGTGGAAGAAAGAGGGTGTGAGAGGGCTGTACCGGGTCAGTAATATGTTGAGACTTTGGCATTCCCTATTCATGTCGTTTATAGGGCCTCCCAGCACCCATTGTAGGCGCCATGGCTGAGAACGCCTCTCTCTTTTTGACCTACGGAGAGTTTCAAAACGCGATCCGATTGGTGACGCATCGTCCACCGGAGGAGAAACTGCCTTTATACCATCTAGCCTTGGCAGCTGCTGGAGCCGGAGCTTTTACGAGTTTTCTTCTGTGAGTTTAAAGTGCAGTGCAGTGAAGTTTTATTGCCATCTTTCTAAGTTCTTCTTAGCACACCTATCGAACTGGTCAAATGCAAGATGCAAGTACAAATGCTCGTGAACCCAACAGGTGGCTCGTCTCGGTCCCTTCCTGGTCCAATATCGGTTCTTGCCTCGGTGATACGTACCACAGGCATCCGTGGCCTCTGGCTCGGCCACACTGGTACACTCATTCGAGAGACTGGTGGGACGGCAGCGTGGTTTAGCACGAAGGAATATGTCGCCTCGCTCCTCCTCGCCAGACGCCACCGACGTGAAGTAAACGATAGTTCTGTCCCAACCAGTGCCAATTCGACGGAGCTTCGCCCGTGGGAGTCAGGAGTATCAGGTGCTTGTGCTGGAGCTGCATTCAACCTTGCTCTGTTCCCGGCCGACACTGTCAAGAGCGCGATGCAGACTGAGGAAGAGCTCCGCCCAACGACGGGGAGGAATGGCCCGAAGCCGACCTTTGGGGGCACATTCATGGCGATGTACCGTGCACAGGGGATACGTGGGCTATATGCCGGCTGTGGAATCACGGTGGCAAGGAGTATACCCAGCAGTGCGATTATCTTTTTGATTTACGACGGACTGAAGAAACAATTTGGATAGATTTTGCTAGACATAGATTGAAATGGATGAATCCCTTGAATCCACACTCGATGCTCACCAACGTCGTCTTGTCCACGTCATATGACCCACAGGCTTCGCGGCCCGCGAGAGTCGAGCTGTCGAAGGAGACTACCCACGATTATCTTTATCTCTCATCGTCCATAGTCTCCTACACACCATGAATCCGGAAGGGGCTGGCTTTACTCTTGCAGAAATACTCCTCGCACTCCAATGTAAACTCGAGAATGGAGACATCGACGCAGAAGTGCTGTCTAGCCTTGATCGTTGGAACGAGAGCGACTCAAAGTTGAAGTAAGTGCGCAATATTCGGGCCCATGCTTTTGTCGGTTAACCACGTCCAGAACTTCATACGAAGCCGAGGTGGGAAGTCCTTGACATTTCTACTATTCACCCCGTTTACGGATCTCTCTCAGTTTGCAGGTCAGCTCAGAGTTTCGACAGTCGTCAATCGACTTCTTGGCTGTCGACACAATGCCACCCTTCCAGTTAATCAACTCCCAAATGACATCTTGATCTTGATTTTCGAATGCCTCCAATATGATTCTCGACACTCCTTTCCGCCACTCTTCAAGGAGGAAGTCACACAAGCAAACAAGTGGATGTCAGTTTCACAGGTCTGCCGGCGCTGGCGCAAAGTAGCTATCACAACCCGTTCTCTCTGGCAGCACATTGCTATAGGGCACGTTCGACAACCCAGCCTTCTGGCGATCATGTTCTTTGAGCGCAGCTCCCCCTTCCTGTTCATTTCTACGACAACACACCATTGCAGCATCAAGGAGTCGTGGCGGAAGAAATGGAAGTATTCTATGACCTTATGCGTTCGAATGTCGACCGTGTGGCTGGCATTCATACCTCGACATGTGGAGATATCGACTTGTCTCTGCATTTTCTGCTCATGGACCATTCTCTGCCATCGCTTCAAAGTGTTCAGTTCGCATTTCCAGAACCGCCTGACGGCGAGCACTTTTTACACTACGCCGAGTCGGCAATCGTCCAAGAATCCGACATCGAGTCCTCAAAGACAATCAGCAGGCTATCCGTGCATTCTTTTGACATCTTTTCCCTCGAAGTCGATTGCAGCAGCTTGACTCATTTGAGTCTGCAGAACCAAAACTCTTTATACCGCCCCTCCTTAATCGAATTTCTCGAATTTCTGCGCTCATGCCCGCTATTGCAATTCCTTCGCCTTGCCGAAGCAGGGCCGTTGGTGACACACCCTCTCCCGATCGATATTCAGCCCGTGCCCCTATCTTTCATGCAACGCGTCGAGTTTTGGACAAATGGTGCATCCTATCGGATGTCCCAGAAGCCTTTTCTTTTACTTCCCTGTCTTGAAACACCTGCGACCACGACAATCGTCTTCCCTTTCAACCTTAACTTCTCCGTCCTCCACCATTATCCTGTCTTCGAGACGTTCCTCAAGAAAATTACGTGCATCCAGTTTCGATCTAGCTCGAAAAGCTGCTATGTTGTAGCCGGCGGGTCGTTCATCGTTTATGTGGAAAAGTCATACAGTCTCTCAGGCTACGGATTACACAAGCATCGTATTAGCCCCCTTCCTCTTCTTTTCTCTCAGATAAACTCTGTGGTCTGGAAAATCGACTATTGCAGCTTACCGCTTGATTGGGACCTTTGTGGACAGATACTGAAGCACTTCGATTCAATGCAGACGCTTCACTTGTTTTTTGGTGATCCGCCCTCCGCCACCTTCTTCCTGGAGTGTTTGACCAAGGAGACAGACCCACCACTATGGCCACAGTTCAAGGAGCTTGTCCTCCATTCTATACATCACTCGAATATAGAGAAAATCTCGAGGTTCTATCGGTGCAACGTACTCTTTTCTCGATTTAAAGGTGTTCTGTCCAAAGACAAGAGGACAGTCGTTTATCGACGACGGCACTTAGGACCGATGGAAACGAGTTTTGTTGTTCGTATAGATAAGTACTTCCCTTTCCCGGACGCAGAGATTCACGGCTACCGTCCTGCCTTGCATAATTACGATTCGTTCTACGAAGACGACTTGCCAGAGTAGCATTGTGTATGTTGACGTCTGCCCTCGAGCAGCTCAGCAAAATTTAACCGTGAATTATGAGCACCTTCAGAGGAGGATCGCTTTCGCATTCTCGTGTCTTTTGTGTAAGGCAGTTGCGCGCAGACACCAGGTGAGCGCCGATTTGGTATGTATTTGCTGATATCGTCCAGCCTCGTAATGAGGGCCGCTTATCTAAGCGTCATCACTCACGGGCCGGAACGAACATGCACTCACTCTTTTCATGACCACTTTCAATTTGCAACCACCATGACAAGGTATTCCTACAAGTGTCGGGGTCTGGCATACGGTCAAATTCGCGTTATCTCTGGCGACAACCACAAAGGACTGCCTCTTAACATTTCTCCCAGTTGTTTCGTTTTCTGTCCTACCTAATCCAAGAAATGGTCACTACGTCTCGGTACGAGTTTGATCCTTCCAAGGATCTCTTGGATATGAAGGGAAAAGTTGTCATTGTCACTGGTGGGAAGTACGTGCTACTTCCATTTCAATCTGGCCACTATTCTGAATTCTCCAACTTCTGCAGTGGCGGGATAGGACTGGAGACCGTCAGACTTCTCGCTCGTTCTGGAGCGAAGGTCTACCTCGCTGCCAGGGATCAAGGACGTGCAGAGGCGTGTATTGAACGGTTGAAACGCGAAGGATCTGAGCCAGGGGGTGGGGAGGTGACCTGGTTAAAATTGGACTTGAGTGACCCTAGGGACGCGAAGAAGTGTGCCCAGGATTTCCTCGCAAAGGAGAGCCGGTTGGATGTATTGGGTGAGTCTTGGACGCATGGAGATGGAGGAGCTGCACTCACTTTGTCTTACTCAGTGAACAATGCTGGGATGTGAGTATATGCGTCTTGAAGCACCTTACTATCATCTTGAACCGTTATTCCAAGGCTTTCGGCACCTCATACAATTGGCCCCGACGGAGTGTCCACTCTGGCTACAGTGAAGTGCGTCTACACTGGCTGTATGTGTCACGTTGGAACTCTGACAAACTCTACAGCTATTTGGGCCCTTACGTCTTTACACGGACTCTGCTGCCTCTCTTACAGCTGACGGCGAAAGAATCCAACTCAGATGTCCGGATAGTCAACGTATGTTCTCTTGTTATAGGTTTTGGGATTATTCGTACACCTTCGTTTAGGTGTCGTCCATGACCCACAAGAACGTCCCAGCCTCCGTCAAATTCGACGATATCAACGACTTCAACACCAAGTTTGGTGGACTGATGCCCGGCCTCATGCGTTATGGTACGATCACGACGACCTCGTTCTTCCCTTTCGTCACCCATACTTGCAGCTCACGGCAAACTCATGCTCACTATTTGGACTAAGACATTGCAGAAGAAGCTAAATGAGGAAACGTCAGCACCTATCACAGTCATGGTTGTTCATCCAGGTGCCGTCGACACCTTCTCGCACAAACTTCCTCTCGCGTTCCTTTTCAAGTTCTTGATCGGCTTCTTCATGGCACCGCCAGAAATTGGCGCCTACACTCCTGCTTTTGCAGCTGCTGGGAAGCGCGTTGCAGAGAACAGGGTCACATATCAGGGCGTGTATCTTGAAAATGTGCCCACTGGGCAGATCACCGAGCCTCATAAGGCGGTACTTGACGAGGAGATCGGGGAAACACTCTGGAAGACGACAGAATCTTTCTTGGAGCGTATTGGCGTGTAGTATACATCTCACAAACTTAGTTTTTATTCTCAGTGAATTTGCAGTGAATCATTCTTGCGTGTTGCGCACGAGCGCAGATGACTCGATGACCCTACACAGCAATGTACTACTAGGAGTCGTTTTCTTTGAGTTGCCTTCTGCAGAAAATACGAACAGGTCTCTGAACATGTAATCTTTGGTTATGAAGCCTTGACGAATGCCAGCCGGGGCTTGGGGCGATTCCAACGCTATTTGTTTGTCCCAAAAGTCAATAGTTCCCCGAAATTAAGACTCATCCGTCTTGCTTCTAACCACCATCTAGTTGGATTCCGTTCTACAATCTTCCACCCACACCGCCTTCAGTCTTCATGGGATCCCTGCAGGTCCATCTTGGCCTTCACGTTCTTTCAAGCTCCTTGAGCAAAAGATTATCTGATAGGTGGCGTTTCGGAGTCAATGGCAATTTCGGCTAGATGTCCGACACGTTATCGAGAGAAAATCCCCTTCAGATTTACAGAAAGTGCGTATATGTGTCTTCTGGTCTAACCCAACTCTTGCCTAACCCGAAGTTTGAAGCTACAATCTAAGGTGAGACGAATGAGGAAGTTGGTTCACACGTCCTTTGTTCTGAACACGTGGGACGGACCGGTGGAATTCTGGATGAATTCACATGCAAAAGGAAACTAGAGGTGAAGCTGAGAGCAACATCGGACATCTGTGTTTGTCTTGTTACTCCTACATCGACCGAATTTTTTGCGGGTATTGAATGCTCACGCCCGATCTGACTTTTGTATTGACTTTTGACCTTACAGGCCATTGCAACCCTCCTTTGGTTGGGTCCATTTGTCTCTCAGTGGTTTTGTCCAGAACGCAGGGTATCATCTGGGAACGGAGCTTCCAGTTGCTCCGCTACTCAGCTACTTGCTCTTCTGAAGCCGTGGGATCGACTCAGTGTTGAACGCCACGTATCGTTCCAAAAAATTTCATTGGACACTATTCTATCCACAATCCTACGTTCCATCTCCCCGGCCATTCACTCGCCTCTCCGCCGCCATGCCCACCGCCTTCTCAAAACCAATCTTGCCCCATCCACTTCCGATTCCATCGTCTCTGAACCGTCGCCCCATTGTTCTTGCCTTCTTCGTTTTCCTCCTCCTCCGCTCGCGCACAGTCACTCTTTCCAAGGATGCTCTCGTCTCACTCAAGAACTCCCTACCATCGGTGTACAAGTGCCCATCGAGAAAGAAGAAACTGAACCCGGATGAGCTAGCGAAGGTGCTGCAGCAGGTGTATGTTGACGAACCAGATGGTTCGAAGACCCTTCTGGTGCCCTATAGGGAAAGGGTAATTAAGGTGCGCATGATGTCACTTCTCAGGGCCCTGACTTTCCACTCAACCACGATCTCACAGGTTCCTATCCGACCGACCTCCAAATCCAAATTTGTCGCCGACACGCCTCATTTCTCACTCCTTGTCGGTACCGCTGCGTCGAAACCGAACATCGATCTTGCCTTCCTCGCCCAACTGCGTGCAATACTTTTCCGTATAGCCATCCCATCATGGCGTTCTTCAGAGGCTGGTATCGTTGCATTGCATTCAACTTTCCTTGTTCTACGGACAGTTCTCAGCATCATGGTGGCACGGTTAGATGGCAGGATTGTACGAGATATAGTGAAGGCTGATGGAAAGGGATTCTTGAAGGGGCTGGCGCTGTGGTTTTTGTTGGCCATCCCAAGCTCATTCACTAATTCGATGGTACGTTTGTGCTCGGTCCGCCTGGTGTCCTATCTAAAAGTGTTATAGATTCGGCATTTCCAATCCCTCCTTGCCCTGCGCTTGCGCACACGACTGACACGATACCTGCACGACCTATACCTCTCTTCTAATCCGGATCTACGATACTATCGTGCATCTAATTACCTAGAAGGCATTGATCAATATCTTACAGCTGACGTTGAGGCATGGTCCAACGCCTTGAGCGGGCTTTAGTGAGTACCTCCCGTCATTCGTCTCCTTACTTGCTTACCTGTGTCTCGTAGTGGAAATATCCTGAAGCCATCCCTTGATCTGGTTCTATTTACCTCCCAACTTTCTCGCTCACTTGGTGTCCGAGGCACCTTGCTACTGTTCCTTAACTACTATACTACAGTCGCGATTTTGCGCGCCGTCACACCCGCCTTTGGACGTTTAGCCGCAGTCGAGGCCCGTTTAGAGGGCGAATATCGGGCTGGCATGGGAAGGGTTGGACGAGAGGCAGAGGAAGTCGCGTTCTACGATGGCGGTGCTCGGGAGAGGGACATTTTGACCAAGGCTTACATGAAATTGATCAAGCACGTCAACTCAGTCTACAAGGTTTGTTGATTCTCATTAATTTATGTTCTTTCTCACATTTCTGACAGATCCGCATTGCATACGAGTGGACGGAGGACTACGTTATCAAGTACCTCTGGTCAGCTGCTGGATATGCCCTCATCGCGGTTCCTATTCTATACACGAGGACCAAACGTTCGTTGGGTCTTCAAACAGGTGGGCCACTCGGAGATGGCAAAGACGAGGCTGTTGCAGGTCGCACGGAAAGTACGCCGCTTTCTATCTCATTTTCATTTGTTCTGACCGAGGGTTCAGCGTACATCTCGAATCGCCGTCTGCTTCTCTCTCTGGCCGATGCTGGCGGCCGCCTCATGTATGCCTACAAGGACCTCCTAGAGCTCGCAGGTCTGACCACCCGACTCTATACGTTGCTCTCCACGCTGCTCAACCTTCCCAAGGGGTACCAACCCTTGCTGGTAGAGCGGGCCGACGAGATTTGCCTCAGGAACATAGACGTGCGGATACCCAGGATCTCTAAAGGAAAGAAGCACGGCCACGAAGACGAGACCAAGACCATCGATAAAATCGTTGACGACGAAGATGAAATCGACGTGAAGCCCGTAGAAAACGGTCTCAATGACCCACCCCTCGTACATGATCTGAATCTCGTCATCAAGCGGGGTGACCATATGATGATAACTGGAAGCAATGGAGTTGGGAAGACTGCCGTTGCCCGCGTGCTGGCTGGGCTATGGGATCCCATCGATGGCGGGGTGTCGCTCAACGGCGAAGAGGGTGGCCAGGTCGAGATGCCACGAGATGAGACTGAGGCAGACGCGTTCTTTGCCCGCAGTGCGAAGGCTGCACACACCCGCCCACGTCCGGCTCTCTACGTCCTCCCCCAGAGGTCGTACATGCCAGTCGGTAGCTTGCTGGAGCAGATCATTTACCCTTGCTCGTATGCCACGTTCATCAAGATGACTTCTTCTGCGCCGCCTGCCCCAGTTCGGACGAGCTCGATATCGTTCCTCCCTGTTGCGCTATCGCGTGCAGCATCGACCACCACTGCGTCAGCGCTGCTGTCGTCTACGCCCTCTCCCTCTGCTGCGGCCCTCCAGGAGATTCATGAGATCCTCGAGAAAGTTCATCTCGGGTACCTCATAGAGCGTGAGGGTGGACTCCATGTGAGAAAGGAGTGGAGAGATGTATTGAGTGGCGGTGAGAAGCAGAGGATGGGTATGGCAAGGGTTCTTTGGTGGAGACCTAAGTGGGCCGTTCTCGATGGTGGGTACCTTCGTCATCGTTCTTTGTTGCAAATTCATAGTCTGACTGGATGGTTCTTTTCTCACATTCTAGAATGCACAAGTGCAGTTTCCAGCGATGTGGAAGGTAGAATGTACGAGGCTGCCAAGGCATTGGATATCACTCTCATCACTATATCTCTACGGTATGTTGTCTCTGTGCTAGTCCGCGAACTCCGTGAATTCTTACGACATATCTTCCATTATAGACCTTCCCTCGCTAAGTATCACTCTCAGCTCCTCACCCTTCACGGTCCTTCAGGATCTGAGCCCGGCAAGTGGACTCTATCTCGCGTCGGCACAGCCGAAGAGCGGATGAGTGTCCAGCACGAGATCGACGTATTGGAAGACAAGCTACGCGATGTGGAAGGGTGGGAGAAGAGAGTGAAGGAGCTTGAGGCAATGTTGAGTGTGCAAGAGGGAGTAAACAAGGATGGCGAGCTCGATGAGCTCGAGGCTGAGCCTGTCAATGGCTTCGAGGAGGAGGATATGACAGCGTCACGCGACGATAATGGAGAGGCGGAAGAGGAGGACCACGCTAGTGTGAGCGTCCTCAGTGCGTCTGAATTCAGACGTGACCAGGAGGAATATGCAGATGAAGAGTTGGAGAGTGTTGGTCTTAGTGAGGATGGCTTTGCTATTGATGAGATTGAGGAAGAAGCGTAATACAAGTCGATAATCCATTCATTCCTATTCCTCATTCACACCTTGGAGTTTATTCTATGTCATTCACCTGGATCTTCGGGACGGGGGCGAGGCTACGGCAAGGTGGAAACCGAGGTGAGTTGTTTATGAAAGAGCAAACGAGCTTCTAGGGCACACAGCAACAACACGAGGCTCTGTACACCGACGTCGCGCCGGCTAAAATTGCCAAAGCAGTTTATTCGTTCATAAGTGTTCATTCGTCATGACCATAAATGTAATCGTAAGGTATACTACTGCTACTGCAAGGTGCAATTTGTAAGTAATTAACGTTCGACGAATACCCAGTCATCCTGATCGATCTTCCTTGGTTTCCGGCAGCTCCAGACATCTCTTAGAGCTGACATCGACCTTGTGGTGCCGACCAGAATATTTGCTAATGTAGGAGTTGAAGGAGAACTACGGCTGCTAGGGGCGTACGTTGACCGTCTAGGAGTTGTAGCCGACGCTTCGCTAGGACGTCTTTTCTTCAGCCTTCTCCGGCGGTGTGTAGGAGTCGACGTCCGAGAGGATTTCTTATAGCGATCCATCATAAAGCGATCCAGGGCGAGCTCCTCTGCTGTTGGGGACTCGATAGACGACCATGCGCCCGATATTCTTTGGACTTGTGGGACAGAGACAGGCAGACCGGGCTATAAATACTTGGTCAGTACAGGATTCGCCCAATATCCAGGGGAGAAGCGGGTTACCTGAGAGAAGTTGCCTCGGGCAAGATAAGTTAGATAAATGTTCGCGTTCGTCTCGCAACAAGGGGGGTCCAGAGAAAGGTCGAGGTCGGTGTTAAAAGTGAGGATAGAGTAGTTGGGTTGGTGTTGGTGCGTCTTCCCCAGTGCAGCGCCTTTGAGATACACGTCGAGGCCGCCGAGCGTCGAAGACGTCTGTGTCATTCCACGGAGCGATCGTTGCTCTCGTGAATAGGGGCCGAAGAGGTCCTCGTGCTGCTCCTCGAGGAGATCGAACCGTGATGAACGAGGCGAGGACGCCAGGCTGGAAATAGTCACTGAACGGAGTTCAGCGAGATGTTCGTGCGGAGGGAGACCAAGATAATGCGAAGATATATCTTTGTCAAAGTCCTCCTGCCGGATGTCGGGCTGGGAAAAGACGACTAGGTCTTCCTCGGGGTCCCAGAGTACGGCGAAGGTCAAGGCGGACTGAGGAGGGACAACGTCCGACCAGCGGTAGACACCCTCGTCGATTACGTCCGGCTTGCTAGGGATTTCGAGAGGCTTCTAGGAAAGAAGGACGGCTACTTCAGCTCTCCAAGAGATGCGACGAGGAAGATGTGGACTTACCAGCATGATACCCATTTTTTGCAGGGTGCAACTTCGCTGACGACGACCCCTTGGACGAATGGGAGCGAGAATTAAGTCGACATCCTCCCCTCTCGTACAATCCTCGTCATTATAACCGTTGGGAGCCAAAGCCTGGCGACACGAGTATTCTGTGGGAGAACATTCCTCGTACGTGATTACTACAACCTGGACAACTTCGACATCTGAAAGGGCCTCATGCAAATATGTCTCTGAGGGTTATCGTAGGGCGTGTCCTACACGTGTGGATCCTCGAGGTGAAGAGTGAAAGTGAAGAGTGAATAGAAGCCGAAGACGGCACCGTTCCGTCGCAAAGTGAACTTTGGTATTTATCGGAACGAGCCTAGACTGAAGGGTTGGAGAGAACGAGGGATTCAGGTGGCTATAAAAGGCACGCAAAAATGCTGCGGGTGGCCACCAAAGGTCAGTCATAACGTGATGGAATGAGGAAGAGAAGTGCCATTTGACTCAGGTTCATTAATGTGCAAGAGAATATGTCAGCAAAAGCACTACTCGGAGGGCCACAAATTTAAGCTTCTTTCGCTAGAATAACCCACAGAGAGTCCGAGTCGAGGACTTGTCGAGGACGAAAGAAAAGAAGATCCAAAAGAAACACATTCCGGTACGGGGAATCGAACCCCGAGCTACCGCGTGAAAGGCGGTAATGTTAGCCGTTACACCATACCGGAGATGTTAATCTGATAAACATGATTAACTAGATTCTCTTCGCCTCCGTTGATCGCACTGAGGCGCTAACAGAGCACCAGCGCTTAAACCCAAGTTCCACTTCGGCCTTCTCCAATTCACACTACGGAGGATGAAAGACTCGACAACTAGCCTATGATATTACCTTTCGGCTGCTCAACTAAAATCCATACTAAGTATCGTGCCTTCAGGGGAAGCTCGGCCTTAGCCTGTCGATTCAAAGCAGAGTTGACAGGAGCAAAGGAATTCGGTCCGATCGAATGCCAGACGCCTTCAGATAATCGCCCACTATCTGGGGAGGGGAGTTCCCGTACCCCGAGTTTCTTTGACCAAGGGCTGCGGCACGAAAGCGGAACAGCGCACGTTTCATCTGCCAGTCATTTACTGAAGCTCCGAGAGGATGGCCTTCAAGTTGAGCGATCTTTTCGCATTCTTCTGTCGGATTTTCGGCATTCCATGTCATTTAACTACACCTTTCGCTAGCTGGGAAGCATCGAGTGTGCGGGTGTCGGTCATGTACGACTCGGGCGCCCTTCCTACGGTCTAAAAGTTGCTTCCGTTCAGCGCGGTACTGGCATACAAATACTCTGGTAAGAGCGGGTGAGACGGCTGTTAAGACTTGTATTTTGAAATCAAGGTGTAGTTGGATGTATGATTAGATCCTAGTGTCGCGCTCTCACCCGGCGTACCTGTCGAAATTTTATTTGACGGTGGAGCGAATCCTTGCATGACTGTTTCCTTGCGATCGGAGAAGGGCATCGTCCTCCGTCCCCGCTTCCTAGGCAGTGTCGGCCTCCCCTCCAAGGCGGTATTTGCCTCGGATGCTGTGGCTTGATCCGTTGCGCACAATAATGCCATACGTTATCCCTACACCGATTCAAACCTGGCAGCTGAGCAAGCATTCATCCTGCTGTCTGAATTATCCAGCATGTCTAAATTTCAGAATGGATCCGTAAGTAAGTAAAGCGCGCAAGATCGGATCAGACTCCGTCGTCGAGTCCTCCGCAGCGCCAGGAAGCATTGCCGTCGGACTGTTGTGGGTCCAGGAACGGATGTTCGTTCATCCAATGGAGACACTTCCACCGCAAAGTCCGTCGAAGCGGAATGTCACTGCAGCAACTCTATTCAGGCGACCCGCCGAACGAATTAATTCACAAACTGTCAACAGATTGTCGTTCCAAGAAGCAAGGGTATGTCATTAGAGTGCACCGTATAGTATGTAAAGGTTCATAAAAATAAAAATGGATAAGTTAGTCCCAAAAACAAGCTATCATACAACCGGAAGAAAAGGAGCATAAGTATCCCGCGCAGATCCTTAAAGGGTCATGGATCGGCCTTTGGCTGGGTAGCGTCGGGCATCGGTGAAGGAGATAGGTCCAGCATTACCCGACCCACCCATCTTGGTAGCCACCGCCGCAGCGAACTTGTCAAACTTGTCGACCACGCTGGCCAACTGGAGATCCCGGCACAGTTCTTGCAGCCGGCGGGCCGCCTGGATTCGTTCCTCTCTTTCCTCCTGTGTGGGAGTCATGCCGTCGTCATCGGCCGCAACTGAGACATCGATGCGTTGGAGTCGGTGGTAAAATTCGGGGCCACGTTCCACGCGGAGGCTGAGGAACTCCTCCAGCGCCGTACACACATCCACGACGTCCTCCTCGAAGCACTGCACGGAGATGCCTTCCACGGGCGACCCGGCCAGGTTCGACATCGTCTCGACGACGCTGTCGACGGGGAAGTACGGCGAGATGTGCAGCTTCCGCAGCCGCTGCAGGGGCGTCGCAGACGGCTTCGAAAACACACTGTCCGACACCGCCGCTGTCAGCGAGAACTCGTCGACGGTGGGGCCGACCGCAGCCATGATCCGCTCGGTGCAGCGCGTGTTGAACCCTTCGTCCTCGTGGTAGCAACTCCCGATGTCGAGCACCTGCAAACGACACGCTACGGGCGTCGTCGTCCATCCCGAGTGTCCGAGATGCGTGTCGCGGATGGTGAGCTTGTGAAGAGTAGGAATTTGGAGTAGGGAGGGGAGGGAGAGCTCGGATCCGAGCACCGGGTGGTCTGGTATGTCTTCATCGTTCATGGCGAGGGGAACACAAGGGTATGCTCCTTCGAGCTCAGGGGCGTGCAGCTGGGAGCGAGTGATGCGGTCGAGGAATAGCTCTTCGAGGTTGCGAATGGAAGCCGCCATGTAGACAACAAACCTCTCGCTCCTGGAAAATTGGGTGAGCTTCCAAAGCGCCTGTAAAAGTTTGCATACCACGTACAAAGGAGTCCTTTGCTCATCTCCACAGTTCGAAATCGACAGCTGTTTCAAGTTGTTGAGGTATGGGAAGGGGGTAAGGACACTCTTGTCCAAAGAACCTGCAACTTTGAGAACGAGCTTGCTGATGGCTGGGGAGGCCAATAACAAAGTGATGACCGAATCTGCCCGTACACGAGGAAGAACGGGGAGAAAGTGGGCTGTCTCGCTCTGGGTGCAGAGCTCCAGCTCCTCAATGTAACTGCAGTAGCTGCGTGGCACATTTTCGAGGAAGCGTTCGAGGGCTTCATAGCTGTCCAACTTGACTTTCTAGAAACAAAATGGTATCAGAACGGCTCGTCGCCACAGGATTCGAAGCACACACCCTGAATTGCGCTGGAACGCAGGCCTGGTACGTCAGCTGATCGACTTTAGAGAGGGCCTTGACGTCCTCCGCGTCGAGGGCGTCAATGACCGCCAGCTTCATCTCGTTGGGGAGGGCATGCCACGAGGCACTGGGAATGGCGCTGGATGTGGGTTCCATTGAGTTCTAATTTGGTTTGGCGTCGAAGGAGGGTTAGGGAAGCTAATGGTGGTGCCTCGGGTTATATACAGGCGGAAGATTTGAGGCGACCCTCAAATCTCGCCCCTTAATCCGTCCTCCGAAGTCATCGATTCGATTTCGCGAGGATGTCGGGGTCAAACACAAAAAAATAAATCAGGAAGGAGATTGCTGTTGTTTGTTGCAGCTCCAAAACCTGTGCACCATGCTTCGAATTCCTATCCGATACGCTGGCACTTCTTGTCTTTGAATATCCTTTGATGAGGCGTTTCCATGCGATGAGCTAGCTGGAACGCCTACGTCAGGGGAAAGGTCGAGGGAACTGTCAGATTTCGTACCATCCGGTCTCGGAACTTGGTTCCCTAGGCCGCCTGCCTGCCTTGTCGGACCTGGGCTTTCCCGTCATCGCGCCTCGCATTCTGCCATGGCGCTGATTCATGGAATTTTACGATGCAAGAGGCCGTATTAGCACGCATTGTTCTAGATTCAGCGCGCTATATGGGTCCGATAAGTTGGGAGGTTTTCTCGCCGGCGTGCACGGAATGACGATTACGGCGCCACATACCTTAGAATCTTGCCATTGCTTGACTTGCCCAAAGTTGAAGGGCATGACGATCTCTGTCGTGGACACGTCTACCAGCATCAAATCTGTACGGAACAATTCAGCCGGCCGAGGAAGTGCCCATTTGATCCTCAGCGGCGTTTTGGCCAATGGTGGATTGATTGCTTCGAGCTCAAGAATCCTTTTTCTCGTCTTGGTTTTCCCCGCAGTCCCCGCCGCACACGTGTATATCATGCGACTATCCGAGAAACACTCTGATAATGAATGATCAAGATCCTTTGAGCAAGGATCCTTGTACGACGGGATTGCTTTCGACGCCCGCCATTCCCGGTATTTGCGCTTAGCCGCAGTTGCCTTTAGTCGCAGTTGCCTCCGAGCCGACAAGGAGAAGCTCCTCAACGTCAATGACAGATACGTATTGTCTCCCCACAATACTTACATCTTTTCCATCAATTATGGGCGCGGAGTGTTCATGAATCTAACCATCGTTGCTTGTGGTGATGGATAGAAACTTGTCTCCACTCATGTCGAGATTTAAATTTGAAAGGTCCTGTGTCTCGCGCTGGTGACCCGCAACATGCGGAAGAACAGGCTTAAACCTGATGCTATCTTATCGCTCTTTCATCGCTTCATAGTGAAGAAAACAATTCGACATCTACATATTCCCATACGCGTGCTGGCGAATCTTACACTCTCAAACAGTTATCTAGTTCCCTCTCGGTTGAATGCATTGTATTGACTGCCTGCACAAGAGGGCAGATATTTCGTGTCTCAGATCTCTTTACTACGGACCTTGTCCAACGGTGTGCTCGCAGGGTCACCGAAGCATGCATACCGGACACAGGCCGTAAGACGTGGATTGGGGTTTCAACACTGTCTGCTGTGGACTGCTTCCACGTAGGTGCCCGATCACTTGTCTTGTGATTCTTCTCATTGGTTCAAGCCACTGCGCATTCGTGGAGATTCGTGAGCGTATGGTGGTGCGCGAGGCTGTGTCGCAACTCCAAGTATCAGATACATCAGATCTGTCAGTTGTGTGTACATTCCGGGCCAGCCGGGAAATCCCCTCATCGCCGGCGCGTTGTTGGTAAGTAGCGAGGAGGCATTACTTCCAAGGGCCGGACGCACCCAGTGGGTCTGGATGGTGTCACGGTGGGCGCCTATTTGTGACCGATCGAGAACGTGTCACCGATCGCGCCTGATCGAGCCCCCACTTAGAAGCGCCTGACGCCACACTGCGCGAGACGCTCACCTCGACGCAACCGGCACCTCGAGCCCGGCTGTGATAAAGCTACCCCCGGGGTCGTGTTACGGTGATGTGCATGCACACCTGTGTATTAGGCTAGGGGCGCCGCCGATAGCATCGTGATGTGAGTTCAGAGTAATAGCAGTTCGGTGTCCCCCTAGCTGAAGGTGTGCTTTCGACTATTCAGTCCAATGGCTTCTTCCGCCCTTGGTGGGTGGTTGCGATGATAGATGCTGCACAGAAAAGATATGGGTCAGAACCGGACTAACTCTATAAATAGAACCGCAAGGTATGCTGTGAAACCAGTGTCGTACTTCGTTCCAAATACTACTATGCTTCCGGAAGAAAGGGCTCCGCCGTCACTCCGAAGCTGCAACACCACTGTGTTTGATAACACATGGCTAACTAATGGCGTCTTCTGCTCCTCAACGTTTCTGAACGAAGTTCCGGGTGCATTTGCAGCGTTCCCAGATACCAGCAACATGAAAGAACATCAATACTGTTGGAAGCGGGAGGGTAAGACCTAAGGGCATGAAGGACGTCATACTGCGGACGTGACGTTCTGGGCATGGTAGGATACGTGTCGCTGGTTTACAAAGCACAAGGGTGAGTCCGAGTCGGACTCGACGACTCACACTGTAGCGGCATCGGTATCCAATTTCAAGGGAATACCGAAGGGTCCTGAGCAGCGTCACCCTCGGGCACTGCGAGTGGTTTTGAACCTTTCATCAGCATCTCGGGTTGTAGAAGTATTTAACACTGGTCCCGTAGGAGAGGCCACAATGGAATAGCGAATATGGAATTAGGATTAGTTCTGAATACTTTGACAACCCAAGGTAGCCCAGGATAAAACTTCAGAAAAATGGAGTAAGTGCAAACTAAAAATAGAGCCCATTCAGTCGCTTATCAAAGCTAAGTATGAGAGAGCCTCGGTAAGACAGATTAGTTAGTAAAAGCACTGGAAAGTCATTCGCGATTATGTGCATTCTGAGAGTTTCGGTACCTGCTGCCGGCTTGATTATCATTTTAAATTTACAAAGGCCTTTCCTGAGCAACTCTCCGGCGCTGGAGGGATTCGGTGGAAATAGGGTATGTAGCCTCTTCAAAATCTCCGTTTGACGTCCATTTCCTTCCAAATACGCCGTCAACAAACATCTTGCCAAGATATCGCCTGATTTGCGCCTGACATCTATTTCGCCGAAGGTGTCGATGAGGGCCGATCTCGCGGAGAAAGTGCCGTCTGTCATAAGTGGGCGCTGGTACTCGGCCTGCGTAGGAATCTTGGAGCCGAAGAATTTAGATTATTACATAGACAGACGCCCAAGGATGCCTTCGAATTCTGCAACATTGGATACCAGAGGTACTTCTCCGAAACGTTCCACGGGCATGGGAAAGTGATGGGAACGGCCCTAGGTCAAATGAACGTGAGTTCTCTATAAACTTCCATGTCCGCCGATATTTGTTGCTCTCTTCTTGCCTCCAACCGACGGAAGGCGGTCAACTGTGCTCTGTCCTGAAGTCTTATTTAGTTTTGCTCTAGCTGTGTCTTCTTGACGGCTTCTAGATGGCGACTCGAGTGGTGGCTCGTCTCTCGGTAGACGACGCGGATCCTTTGTCAGTGCAACCGCCTCTGTACGAGACTCCAGACGAACGCAATGCACGAATAGCGCTGGAGCAAGCCGCCAAGGCCAGATCTGACACCATCGACGAAGAATTGGAGAGGATGAGGGCTAGTGAGAGGAGGGGACCAAAACCCATCAAGATCCTTCTGCTAGGTGAGTTCAGTCATACGGCACCAGGGTGGGGATTTCATTTGCATTTCATCTGGGCAGGTCAAAGCGAATCTGGTATGTTGCTCGACATTTCCAATCTGTACCTTCGATGCTCATTTCTGTCTAGGCAAATCCACAACGTTGAAGAGTGAGCTTTCTCTCGCGCAGGTGTTGAAGGGCCACATAGGTTTAACACGTTTGCTTAGACTTCCAGCTCATGTACGACCTCAAGGCGAGTTTCTGTTGACTGTCCACTACTATTCTCTTCTGACGTCTCTGATAGTCGTTCCGAGCGCAACGTGCATCGTGGCGAGCTGTCATTCAGTTAAACGTCGTCCGATCAATCCACAGCATCCTCGACGCCATGACACGAGCCGAGAAATACGACCACGGGCCCTCATCTTCGACAAGCTCTAAAGGCGACCTCCCGTTGCTAACTCCGGAGTTACTCGCCATTAAATCACGTCTCGAGCCGTTGGTAGAGGTCGAGAAGATGTTGATACGCCGCCTGACATCTGCCGGCTCCGGTGAAATCGAGGCTACCCAGCTGCAAACGACTAACGGAACCGTTGTACTGCCGAAATCTTCCCCAAAAGAAGTCGCGATTAACTCTACCATCCCCTGGAGAAGTGCATTCAACAAGCTGGTCGGGTCTGCGGACCGAGGTAGCTTTGAGAGCGAGGACGGGATTGACTGGGACGATCCAGACGACCCTGGGCCTGTTCTTCACTCGGCTTCAGAACATATGAAGCAGCTTTGGGCCAGTCCCATCATCCAACAGCTCCTCGAGAAAGAGAATGTCAGACTAGAGCAGCTTTCTGGATTGTAAGCCTTGAATCGTCTCGACAAGGTATTCATTTCGCTGATTTGCCCCCAAGCTTTTTGGACTCACTGGATCGGGTGACAGCCGCTCGATATATCCCCACTGATGGTACAGATGGAGTCTCGCAAATGCCGTTGTGACGTTTAACGTATATTCTTAGATGACATCCTCCGTGCGCGATTGAAGACGCTAGGTGAGCCTGGGGCCCACTTCTCTCCGACGTATAGCTAAATGATTATCATAGGAGTCAGTGAACACCGGTTCAAGATCAGCACCAGTGTGTAGCTCCACATATGATCCTTGTCTTCTTCCATATAACTTCTCGTAGGCGGCAGTGTTCGAGATTGGAAGGTCTACGATGTCGGCGGCCATCGATCACAGGTTAGTGTTAAGCTGCTATCCCTTGCCACAAATTCTGGGCTAACCGCAACTGTCCATGCCCAACAGCGAGGTAACGGAGGCGTTATGATGCCAAAGATCTGCCAGTACTGACCCAGATCCGTTCTATCTCTCAACATAGCTGCTTGGGCCCCTTACTTTGACGACATGGACGCGATCATCTTCCTGGCGCCGATAAGGTGGATACGATAAAGAGATATCAGTCATGATCTGGCGCTAACCGCTTTGTTCTTTTCCACTCAGTTGCTTCGATCAAGTCTTGGAAGAAGATCACAAAGTAAACAGACTGGTACGGATCGCACCACGTCCTGCGCCACTTCTCCAGAGCGGCTGGGAGTGGTCAGGTTACAGTGGTCTGCCGTGCTTACTATTACACTCTTTGCATTGCAGGAAGATTCGTTCAAGCTCTGGACGATGATCGTTTCAAATCAGCTCCTCAAGAACACAAACCTTATCCTGTTTTTGAATAAGATCGACATTCTTCGCACCAAGCTTGCATCTGGGATCAAACTTAGGGACTACGTCGTATCATACCAGGATCGCCCGAATGATGTCGAAAGCACGACTTCCTGTGAGCAATTTCTTCCTTTCTTTCGCTAGTCTGTCTATTTTTGGACCTAATCCCACATGGCGTCATTCAGATTTAAAAAGAAAGTTCGGTGGGTGTGCTGTCGGACACTTTGACGGGCAAGTTTGTACTCATCTTAGGCTGATTTGCAGGTGGCATTTTACACGAGCGTTCACCGCTACCACGAGTTTTCTATTGCCATCTGACGACAGTGACGGTGGGTGTTAATCATTTTGTGGGCGGCTGCGTCAATGTTCATTGCTTCAATTTTAGGACACCAACTCTACCAATCGCATTCTTTCCAATCGTACGATTCTTTTCTTGTCGTTCGGGCCGTATTTCTGCTAATTTTTTTGATAGTGAAGGACATGCTCATGCGACAGAACCTCATGAAGACAAATCTCATCTCATAAACCCGTGGAGTTGGGAGCATACGTTTCGTATCTTATTTTATCGCATTGTATCCTTGCTTGGTTTCATTGTTTCTTGGATCCTTTAGTAGTAGCTAACCTCACATGAGTTAATGTGATTAATAGTATCTTTGTAGCCTGCCTGTTGGGTAAATAGCGGTGATAACGACCTCACGGACCCATCTCACGTACAGGCTAATACTTGGTCCAAGGCCCGATTGACTCAAGCAGCGAGACCTTGCTCTCCATCAAGATCAAGCCACCATGCCATACCCTCCAGGTGGAGTGCGACGACGGGGTGTGCTGGGCTATTGATAGAAGTGGCGATGGACACCTGTCCCTTGTCTTCCATAGCTTCGAAGCTTGTTAAAGGCGCTGCGGCTTGATCGTTCGGCGCTTTCTCTATCCCATTTGCCCCACAAGAGGATGGAGGTCGGGCGTCCAGCTTTGAAGCCTCTCGTCCTTCCACCATAGAGCAGGACGCCCGCTTTCGCCTGAGAAGTGCCGTTCCCAGCGCACTTCCATGTGGCCTTTCAGCAGGCCCTGAGTCCCAGAGAGGGCTGCATTGCAGTACACAGAGCCCAAGTTGCCTGCGACGTCTCTGGGGTCGCCGTCTTCGGCCTCCTTGCCGTTAACCAGGGTATCTTCGAGTGACGGTAGATGAAGTAAGAAGAAGGGTATCGAAGACGAGTGGGCGCGTAGGATTGTAGATTTCGTGAATAGTGATTGGGAAATAAGCAGCGCGACCAAGGGGATTGACGAATCTTGCCCGAACTCCGCCCAAGCACCGTTCTCGTTATCTTTCGATGGGACTGGAAAGGTAGTGAATCCCCGAGCAAGAAGATTGTATGAAACGCCTTCCAGCTCTCGCACGTAGTTCGGCCCCATCTTCTTCTTCTCCGCTTTGCATTGACCAATTACCCGGAGGCGCCGTCTGTCTGCGGTTGAAGCAGGTGACGAACTTGACACACTGGCGGCGTTGTGTGGTAGCCACCACCAGCCGACAAGATCGACTCCTCCGTCTTCTTTGCCGCCCACACGTTTGAGTGACATTGACATAGTTTGTTGCAGAAGTTTCAGAGAACGTTCCTCAAAGGCATTGCCCCGATGAACGGTTGAGAGTCGTGGAGCTGACGCGACGGGCGTGGACGAGAAGTGTCGGTTTTGAGGGGAGAAAAAGGGTCGGAGACATGCTCGCCATGGACCCATTCTTGCATGTATTACAATAGATCCATGAAAAGAAAGCAGATTTGTTTTTCTGAGCGATTTCGGCGTGATGATATGGATTATGAGTCCTGAGTTCAAAGCAAGAAAGGAAAGTTGTCAGTTGCGAGATCACGTGCATCACTTTAGCCCCTAAACGCGTTGAAAACAACACGCGTCCGTGGTCGTGCTATAAGAGCGCCACGCAATAAATACATTTCAGATATATTTTTCAGGTGTGTCATTCCGTTTAAATTCTTATTTAATGACATGTGCATTGCAGCTTGAGCTTGATCTCCCGCACAGAACAGCGGAGATGCGAGTCATTCCATGCTCAAGGGCAAACCAGCCGAGAAAGGTCCTTCTGATTTCTGTAGCTCACATGCGCTCACAAGTAATGGCTTTCGACAATTGTGGAGACTCGTTTTTGGGATGAAAAAAGAGCGGAAGACGCTGAATTATGATATAGGCGCTGTAACAAACGAGTGGCAGGTATAATGAACGACCTTCTACTTGACGCAACCTAATTCTCAAGCGCAGGAGACCGACTCGACGAACCAGTTGGCAACAAGTCCTTCCTTGGTCTGTCCAGCCCATCCATTGATAATGGCAGCAGTCTCTTCTCGAGTCTTTCCATCGGCAGACACTTCGTCGTGGACACTGAAGAGTTGGTCTGGGTTCTCAGCGAAGCTTGATCCATCGTTCTAGGAAAAGGAAGATGGTAAGGAAAAAATAAATATTGGCAGAGTTGACACATACGAAGATGCCGCCTCCGGTTTCGAGGGCGAGCGAACGTCCAATTACTAACAAATCCGGTCAGTTGAGGTGCATTGATATCCTGAACGTCTACGAGCTAACCATAGTTAAACTCGGGGACGAGGTCAGTGGTAGTCGAATCAACGGTAGTGTCGGGCTTGAAGACAAAGTCGCAAGCCGTCAAATCCGTCTGGCGCTTCCGATTCACATGAGACTTCGAGGCAGCGACAGCAGTGGCGGTCAGGACGGCAACGAAGACTTTAGAGAGGTTGAAGATCATGGTGAAGGTAGGGAAAGTCGGCGGTCGTTGCTCGAGGAGTCTTGGTGAGGACAATGAGAAACATGTAGCCACGTCAACAATCCTTTTATATGGTCTGGACTATGAAGTGCCGTACTGGACTGATGATGTCGGCAAATGATTTCCGCTTAGTGAACAAATTTGGGTCCTTCAATTCTTGGTCGGTGGCAATTGCTGCGGGGCCAGGCGGCCCACTAGCTGAATGGTGATGCGATGCCTAGAAATGGCAAACGTCGGGCTCCGTGTGCGTTTGCGCGGCGTACTGGTGAACGTTGGTCGCTGGAAGACGCCTTTTACAAGGTTTATCACATAGGTTTCGCATGTCGTCTTCTATTCCTTGCGAACAACGACTTGGAACGTTTTAAGGGAAGGTAGATGTTCATAGTTTTGGCAGCCCAAGGGCCGTCTCGGCGAAATGAAACTGTTCGTGCGGTGGAAACGATCTGATAGTTGACGATCAGAGCTGGTAATCATCTAGGCTCTTCCTTACCCAAAGTCCCGTCTACCAATGACCAACCAATGCACGCAGCGCTACAGCGTGTACTATCTGTAGACATTATAGAAACTACTCACACCATAGAGGAGCTCTTTGTGAGGTGCATTGCGCAGTAAGTCGGTTGTCATCGTAGTTATGAACGCCCGCGGAACTTCAAAATACAAGCGGGATAGTGAATATGGAAAAGAGGAGACTTGACATTGGCGAGGTGGCGATTAGACCCACTCTCTCACCAGGTTTGAAGACATCAGAGGTCCAGAGGTCCTAGAATAAGTACCGACTAGATTTTCCAACGCACTATTGGCCATACGAAGCCATTCCAATGACAAACGATAGAGGTTAGTTACAGAATACTCTTCGAAATTGCCCTCAGTCAAACGTACAAGTCGCGCGAACTTGTGTTCTTGGAGTCGCCAGCTATCTTGGATGGAGGCTGGTAGTTTTGATGCTTCAGATACTTTTTACTGTCCAGGATTCGGCCAACAGCGAGTACGGGAATCATTATGGTATTAGGATACGCGATAGCAGTGGATAGCGTCGAGGAAGGGTAGAATTATTTCGATGCGCCGGTTGCTTTTTGTAGGTCTGCAAGAATCTTGTCGACCTCGTGGATGTGTCTGTCCGTCAGTTTCTGGAACTACAGGACTGGTCAGAATACTTGCAGTGCAACGGGGAGCAGACGCACCTCATCTAATTCTACAGAGTGTTTTTCGTATTTCCCGCGTTTCAAGCTTGCTGCGTGGTGTTTCCGGACTTGAACACGGATTTCTTCCGCTTTACGTTTTGCAGCCGCAAAGAGCTCCTTCCTAGCTTCAACTGTGGGTCTGACGGAAATTCAGAAACCAGAAGGGGTGCAAGTGGGAATGACGCACTTTGGTATAGGAACCTTAATGGTTCGACTATCCTGCCGATGAGGGACAACACCAGGAATCCCGGATTCATATAACGCCGCTTCCACCTGTTTTACAGTCTAGTGACGCGTGAAGCGGTGAGTTCTGGTAGACAGACAAAAACCGGAAGCAACCTCACATGTTCGTTGAATAAAGTTATCAACAACGTTGACCCATCCCTCACACCAACCGTAGCCAATTCCTCCAGCTTCGCGCCTTTCGGATTTTCAGGCAGCTTTACGCGGACAGGCGATAGCAGTGCCGGGGTGACACGGCCAAGTGCCCGAGCCTCTGACGCCGCACATTCTTTCCTGAACCAGTCCACTGCAGTCTGCATAGCAGTTTCACATTTCGCGTACTCCGCGCGCGCCGCTTCGTCTGTAATGGGTTGCTTAGACCCAGGAACGAAAGAGGCGGTGGATTTGGACTTGTTTTTGGACGCATACCCGCGTTGAAATGACAACTGCGTCCGCGAAATGGAGCCGGAAACCGACGTCGCAGCAAGGAGCCCTCTTGCGGTTGGAATTGAGGCCCTTATGACCGTCCGAGACAAAGAAATGCGAGCATGGTGGAAGAGTAAGGTGGAGGACATGAACTAGCGGAGGTAAAGTTAGAAAACGATGATTCCGGTGTTTGGGTTTGTAAACAACGGAGTTAGGAGGCGGTTGTGCTGCTAACAGCATTCGTTGAACTAGCAGGGTTCACAAAGCAGAGTTCACAAATCCATATTGAATAGCTTACAATACGTGAAAATCAACTATAGGAATGGTATCTTACAATAACAGAAGCATAACAGTGTTAGTGTAGGTATTGGTGTGGAAGCAGAGTAACAGAACAATACTACGAAGAGAACCAATAAAACCGAAGCGTTCGCGATTGCTGACTGCTGCCCTGTACATATGTTATTCAATTCTGGCGGCGTCCAAAGCGATCAAGGCCGAAGAGATTGGCGAGCTCTTTCACAGAAAGTCCTGGGAGGATTGAGAAATGTGGAAGGGGAAAGCCAACAGAGATCTACTCACTGCCAAGTTTCTTCGCGCTGCCTTCACCAAGACTTCCGTCGGCGAGAGTTTGCTAAACGAAGGACAATTGAGTGAAATGACAAGTAATTACTGATAGAAACTAACCTTTCTCTCTTGCATCTCCAAGATGCGATCTTCAACTGTATCCTGTATAACCACACGCTGGACAACAACCTTTCTCTGCTGCCCCAAGCGGTGGACACGATCGAAGGCTTGAGCTTCAACCGCCTGAGACCATCCGAGGTCGAGAGATATGACGTTGTTCGCGCGTGTAAGGTTCAGGCCAACACCTGCGTCGCGAGAGTTAGTATGATCAACGTTCAAGAGTTCGTGTTCACGAACCTCCACACTTCAACGACATCAACATAACACGAGCCTTCTCGCGAGCCATAAAGACCTTCACGGCCTGATCACGCTTTGTACGGTCCATGTCTCCTTGGTACCTATTGCAATAGCATAAGTCAAGGGCCCAAGAAACAAAAGGCTTTCAGACGCACTTGACATGAGGGATGTTCTTTTCCGTCAGGTAGTCAGAAACGAGTGACAGACATCCAGTCCACTGAGACACGATGAGCGTCTACCAGCGAAGGTATAATTAATCGAGGCTTCCCCATTGGAAAGAGAGGAAACATACCTTCTCGTCAGGGCGAACCTTCACAAGCGCCCCCAACTGATCCATCATGTACTATCGAGACGATGATTAGTCCCGAAAAAGCACACGAGAGACGCGCGCAATAATATACCTTCATCTTCGTCGAAGGCAAAAACTTCGGCATCAGCGCAATCTGCTCTGGAGTCGTAGGTCCCTTCGGATTGACTCCGAGCAGAACCTCCTTCTCCTCGGGGGTCTCATCGTCCGAATCCAATATGACAGTCGCCCGCTTCTTTCCCAGACGTTTCTTCGTAGCCCGATAGGCGTCCTTCTGTTCCTCGTCTTCGTCGCTCTGGACGATGAAATCGCTCATATCGTCGTCCTCGTCGTCTTGATACCCCTCGTCCGACCCAGAAGCGTTGACATCGTTGCCTTCGTCGTGCGATTCAATGTAGGTTCGACGCCCACTGGCAGCTTTCCTGGGACGACGAGCAGTCGCTTTCCCCTTGCCTTTCCCCTTCCCCTTGCCCTTGCGAAGAGGAACGTCGTTGGCATCCATCATCTCGATGTCACTATCGTAGGCAGCTTTGGGATTGAGATCCTCGTCGGTGGGCTCAAAAGCAGCTCGAGAGAAGATTTTCTTCGAATTGATGGGCCCGCGGCAACATGGGCCTAGGCAATGGTTAGGATGTGTTCAGGCAATGGACGGTATAGGTAGGGAAGGTACTTACAATCATGATCCTTCTTGTTAGCACCGTCGGCGGCCTCTGCGTTTGGTTGAGTGGTCTTGAGATAAAGTTCTGGACATAATTGGAGACATGAGCCACGGTTAACCAAGATAAAAACCATACATACCAATGCATTCACGACAGAACGTATGGGCGCATGCGGTGATTACAGCATCGGTTAGATTATCGTGGCATATAGCGCACTCTTCCTCCTCGATAGTTGCATCAGCCGACTGGCAACGGAAAATCAGATCCAAGTCTAGTCATATCTGTGATCGAATCAAAACATACAAGTTTCTCAGCCTCGAGCCGGTCCAATGCCTCCTGCTTGAACTTCTCTTTCATTCTCTTCACGAAGTCCGGGCCAACCGAGCTACAAGCGCGGGTTAGCTCAGTCGCAGGCTCAGCGTGAACTGATTCCTCTCCGGCTTCGCCTGGAGCAACGAACGCCTGACCACCCTCCTGGATGAGAGATGGGTGCGAACAGACTTGTCGTAGGCGGAGGAGGAGGACCAGGACTTGATGATAATTCCTTCAAGATCGGCAGTCAGTAAAGACTTAGAAACGCGTCAACGTGTGGCGTACTTAAGGACTGTTCCAGCGCGCAAGTAACGATTGAAGGTGTTCTGAGAACGGGTCTCGAGCTGTCAAGCAAATGTCAGTCACTGTTGCGGCAGAGGGGACCGAGCCCAAAGAAAAATACTTACCATGTTGTAGATAGCCCGCTCCTCTTGTGAAAATTCCAGCTTTGCAAGCCTGATATCCTTCTCGGGCAGCTCAATGAGAGGCTTGCCATCCAACTTCGAGTCTTTCTTACGCCGAAGGAGGAAAGTGTTCATCACGGTCTGGAGGCGGGTAACGGCTACGTCAGCTGAAATCCCGGTCATCAGCATCGTGCCAATGAGTGTTATAGTCAAAGCGATCTATTGCTCACGTCTCTTCTTCTCAAGCCTTCCTATCTCGCTCTGGAACTTGGTCCAGTCATACCACGGCCTCATCCTCAAAAAGCGAAGATATGCAAAAGCATCTGCTAGGGAATTGACAATTGGAGTTCTGTGCCAGCAGCTCAGTATCATAGACAACGAAGCAGGGCAAAAGCGTACCCAGTCAAGCACCAACGGTATGTGGCTTGAAGGTCGGTAATAGCTCGAGAGGCCCCTGTGAAATAGACGATGAGTCGGAGTGGGAGGTAGTTGGATTCTGACAAACTTGTGCGACGATTCTTGATATATTGAGCCTCATCCGTGATGATGCGGTAAAACTGGCGTTAAATCAGCAACGAGAACACGACAGCGAAGGGGCGAAATACCTCGACTTGGAAGAGAAGACCAGCTAGAAGTCCGAATGTGAGGCGACACGAATGATGGGTCAGAAGGGTAAAGCGCACCTTGTTCCTTTCGCTTTTTGTTCCGGTAGGTATGATCGTGCATATCCAGATCATCATCCGAAGCAATGAAGCCATCTCCTTTCTTCTTCGCCTTCGCCTTCTTCTTCATCTCATTCTCGTAGTCGGGCCATTCGCGCGACATGGTCTGCAACATACGATGAGCCAAAAGGAAAAGAAGCAAACATTTGCGATCTACAGACATTATAAGTCGTCAACACAATATCGTGCTTTAGGATCTCTGCCTTCCTCCTTGTCTTGTTGTTGCCTACGAAATCAGGATGATGTAACGGGTGCTCCCAGTCGTCGAGTGAGGACTTACCATGATAAATGTAACAAGAAAGCCCGCAGTTCGTCTTCGTCTCAATCTCCAACTTCCACTGGTCTAACAGAGCCAACGGAGCAACGATTAGGGTGGTCTTGCATTTAGGATCCTTGGGCTTGTTCTTCAAAATCGTAGCAATCCTAAATACGGCGATCAGACGACAGCAAAAACAAATGAAAATAAGAAAGTAATTCACATTTGTACCGTCTGCCATGTCGGAAAGGCGTGTCCAAGTAAGTCTATGCTCATAACACGAAGGGCCGACGCACCTTTCCAAGACCCATCTCATCAGCGAGACATCCACCTTTCAGGTCGCTCTGCTCTTTCTGCACCATCCAGGCGACCCCAATGGCCTGATGGGCCATCAACGTAACCTCCATCCCAGGAATTAGATCCTGGAGCCCCTTCAGGCCGAGCAGCTTGGTTGCTTTATCCACGCTCTCGTTACCATCAAACATCTCTGCGTTACCTGCCTGGACCAGGAACTTCTCGAGGCTGAAGACGAGTAAGCAAAATAGGCGATAATTCATCGGTGGGAAGGACACCTACTCGTCATGACTCGCCTGGGGGCCAACGAAGAGGTCGGGGTCGCGTCCGTGGTAGTCGCCATTCCTGTCGTATGCATCGCTGCTGAGTGGTGGCGGGACCTTGAAATTCATTTTTGCGGCGAGGTGATCAACGTTAGGCAAGTTTTCGTACTCATAGCTGTCGTCGTCCGAGTCGTAATCGCTGTTGTCGTTCGAAAAGTCCGCATTGACATTGCTGACAGATGGCGGCGGCAGAGGTGGCGTTGCTTTGGAGCTTGATGCAATGGGGTTGTTAAACTGGGCAATAGGCTTGGTTGGCTGTGTTATTGGGTCGGGCACAACTCGTTTGTCCGTGAAGACAGGCTTGATATCGTCAAAACCGAAGTACGGATTCGATGTCGTTGGCCCAGCGGCCATAGCAGGATTAGCGAAGGTGGAGATGACTGGGGCTTCACGCTTAACGATAGGCTTGCGATCGATATCCATCAACATTGGGAAGGGCTGAGCTGCAGCTGGCCTGGTATGCGTGACTCGAGGCTGTGGCTGCAGGATGGTAGGCGCAGGCTCTGCTTTGATGTTAGGTTGAGGTTGGGCATAGGGCGTCATCGACGAGGACGCGATGGGCATCATTATGTCGTACTGCTGTTCCATATTGAGGAGCCGTTGGATCTCCTGCTCGTAGCTAGCGATAGCCTGGTAGTCCATCGTCGTCTTCTGGGGCTTGCGAGACAGCAGTGCGAGCATGCTCTCCTGACCGGCCAGTGCCAGGCGGATGTCGTCCAACTGGAGGGTCGGCTCGTCAATGTAGTAGGACGGATACATTTCAGGATCCTTGGAGGAGCTCGGAAGGGGACGAGGGGAGTTGGTAACTTGAGTGAAGGGTTGCTTCGAAACAAGGTCGCTTTTAGCCTTTTTCCCGGTGTGAAGGGCCACCAGGCCACAAGGATCGTCGGCGCTGGGCTGTCCAGCGAATGCGATGTCTGATAAGCGCTTGCGGGGAATGACTGACTCCGTGGGTTCAGATTTGACACGAGCCGCAGTGTTTTCGCGCTGGGACAAGCTGGTCGAGCGAGGAAAAGTGCTCGCAGAGGTGGATGCAGGCTGGGGGGAAGCTGGTGATTCTGATTTGATGTTCATCTTTGTCGTTGGCGGTGCCCTTTCATTTGAGGCAGGCTTTAATTTCGGGTGCCATGTCAGCCATTAAGCGCCGAGAATAGGAAAAGAACGCCTTGACGTACAGCATTGGGGCCGGCTTTGGCACGCGTCTGCCTCGAAAGGGCAATGTGCTTGGACAGGTGGTTCTACACAGACGAGACATTTGTATAAGCACTTGGACAGGTGGAAGAAGCGTGTAGGACACATACCCGATAAGCCGAAAGAGACCCTAGCCCGTCCGTCTTACCACCATCGACCGCCCGGACGCGTCGAATCAGGGGGATGATCTCGTTGCATCCATCTTTGAGACATGTTACCGAGCCCACTGTGGAGATCCTAGTCAGTGATGACAATCTGGGAGAGAAAAACGCGCATATAACGAGGAAAAAGCACGCACATCCAACTTTGGGCTGCAACGTGACGCGAAACTGCCGTAAGGCTATATTAGGAGATGCGAACTATGGAAGAAAAAATAGGACGGCGCACGTTGTCTTCGTCCGGCCAGAGGGCAAGGTGTCGTCTGAGTTCGTCGAAATAAAAACGCGGGACGCGTTCATCCTGTACATAGCCGGTGTCGTGATTAGCGAGGCCCCAATAGCAGGTCAAAGCCCCGAACCAAGACTGAACTCACAGGTGTGGACGCTGGCAAGCTAAGATGCTTCTTCGCCAACGCGGCTAGCGCGTTGGGGGATATTTCAGGCATGATGCGTGAATTAGAAATGATGATGGTGGTTAGCGGGAGAGGCTGGTTTGGGGAGAGAAAACGAGTTTTGTGAGCGTATATATTCCCACGCCCATTCGCCAAATGTGGGTCGCGACTCATTTAATTTATCACGTGATGGCGTTTATTGTTCGACGCGCCAAAGCACAGCTCGCGAAGTAACACGACGGGGCTTCCAGTGTAGAAATGTCATTTCTACGTGAATGCTCTACGGAATTGTACACTTTGAGTAGAGATTGTCATCAAAGAAATACTTTTACTTAAAGGCGTGAATAACGTGTAAAAGAGGCCTTTGTTCAAAGTATAGAGGACTGTGGGAGAGATCTGTCTACTTTAACTGGAGAATCTCATAGAAATGTGATTTTTATTTTATTCTCCACTCATGATGGACACAATTGTGGACGAAATCTGGACATTTCACATGGAAGTAAATTTTACCTGGTCATCTCCATGCTTTGTGCGCACACGCGTCGAAAATCCTGGTATATTTAAAGTATAAAGGGGGTTTTCTTTGTTTCGCCCCTTTATACTTTAAATGTAGAGGCATTTTTGATGGGTCAGGCCATTCTAAATGAGGGAGCTTCTGGGGGATATTTCTCTATTTCAAGTAAAAAATTGTCTTTGTGGTGGTGGTCGAGTTCAAAGGGAGATCATCGCGTTGCATCTGGTTATAGTCGAAGTATAACTCTTCATACAAAGGGCTTTTCGACACAAATTACCATTTTGAACAGAAAGACCTTTTAAATGTGGTTTAACACTCTGAATAGAAAGTTATTTTGCACGTCTGCCTCCACCCAAAATCAGCATTTCGCCGTGGCATTTTCGTATAAAGGTCATTTATACCTTGGAACCCCCGCCGTGTAATTGTCAAGAACACATGACTTACGAGAGATCGACAAATTGCCTGGAAGCGTAGGCTTAGCAATGAGACACAGATAGACAGGCTTTTGTCAAAGAACAATGCATATCGCCTACCAACTGCTCCAACGCGATGCTCGGAGTGGCGAAGTCGGGCTGGATCTATAGAGGGGACTGGAACCACTGGAGTGCTCAGGTTCCGCCGCCTCAATATAATGTCATGGTCGTTTGACACAAGTGTCGAAGCACTCCCAGCACAATAAGCGCTAGCAGTTCGATATTTAGAAGTTCAAAATAGCGTATTATTTAAATAGGTGTGACTACAACATTGTGTAAAAGCTATCCAGATGTACGTAGGTTCGCGAATTCGCGGCTCAAAGTCCAAGGATGAGGGAAGACACCACCCCGAGCATAAATTAAGCAGGTATAATACGGAGGGTAAGGTATAGGTGTATTGACAGCACGGTATATTATAGATAAGGTGGCAGGGCGTCGGTGCAGAGGTAAGAAGATATCATGTGGGGCAGATTGAGAGGAAAATTAAAGAGTGTTGAAAGACGAGTGAAATAATAGGCGAGACTTGTACAACAACAGTGGTACAGCAGACCGCCAGAGACCAACTTGGAAGATACATGAGTGAAACGGGAATAAGCATGAGGGTATGTGGTGTCGATGCTGTGGAGGGTTGCTTGTGTGTAAGGGCTGGTTGCATGTAGATTGCATGTTGTGCTCATGGTAAATGTGCATGTGGAATTGGAATGGAGATCGAAGAGCGCAAGGCTCTTGTTCTTGCTCTTTTGATATTTTCGTCTTCAAGAATGAATAAGCCTTTCGCAACTCGAGCTTCTGATTCCTCCTTCGTCATAAAACTCAGCTCGGCCTAGGCGGCCAAACGCGGCGCCACTGACTTCTGCCTAGCAGCTTCTCTCGCTCTCCTCGCCTCCTCCGGTGTCAAATACACCACGAAACTATCGTATGGCCTGTCGGGAGGCTTGCCCATCCTGGGCAGGCTATCTGGCAGCTCCGGCCGCCTCGGATAACAGGACGAGAATACCTCCTTCTCGTCCTGGTATCCTTCATCCTCGGCAGGATAGTTCTGGAGCTCCTCAGGGAAGGTGCGGTGTGGTGGTGCATAGACAATGTAGCCCGACTGGGTGAGGTGGTCGCCGCGCCTGTTCCAGAAGCCCTTGCGAATAGGCTTGGGCTTCGGTGGGTGAATAGCAGGCGGTGGTGGTGGGGCAGGAGGAGGGGATACAACGCGCGAAGCTTGGGCATTGTATGAAGAAGAGATGCCATTCGTGTGAGAGTTGGTCTGGAAGTGGAGCTGGTCGGCCTGGCGGTAATCCCGCTCATGCATCCAGCGCGGTGGGTCAGGAAGAGGATTCGTTGGGACCAGAGGGGGTGGCGAGGTCGCATGTCCGTGCATCGGGTGACCGTATGGCCCTGTGATAGTCGAGGTAGTAGATGTAGAGGCAGCTGAGGCTGAATCGCGGCGAGAGGGAGGGCTCGGCCGTGTCGAACCTGAACCCGACGGGGGTGAGTGCCGTGGAGAAACAGCCTGATTCGGCGGTGTGAAATTGAGGCTTCCGCTGGAAGGATACGTCGGCGAAGCATGCGTTGACGAACGGCGCGAGTTCGAACGTGAAGGTTGGGGCGAAGGCGCAGCTCGTGATCCAGCACTGTGAGGCGGCGATGTGGGCGACGCAGAGCCACGCGACGGTTCCGGTGGTGCTACGAACACCGCGTGCTTTGTTCCAAGCGTCGAAGAATAATGCTGGTGGGAGTATTCCGGCTCTGGAGCCTTCGAGCGTCTGGTACTGTTGCTACTTTCTCGTCGAAGATCACGGTCACGGTCACGTTCTCGGTCTCGGTCTCGGTCCGGAATCCGCCAGTGGTCTGCCTTCGACGGGTTAGGCATCGTCTCCGCGTGTCTGAGAGGGTTGGGGTACGCTGGCTCGCCGCGAGAGCTTGACGATTCCTCGATTGGCGCGAGCACAGGGTGGGTCGCCTGCGCTCGTAGAGGCTGCCGCAGCGGGCTCGGACCTGGGAGTTTCGGGGTTGACCCGATGACGAGTGGGGAGAGCATGCTCGCCGGTTCCTCGGAGATTTGGTCCGTCAGCATGGGCGACGGCGAGAAGTCGCGCTTGGTCGGCGAGGCGGAGCTCATGGACGTGAACGACGTCGCCGCGCTGCTCATCGATCCGAACGAGCTGGATCCCGTGCTGAGGTTCGACATCCGTGCCGACAGTTGAGAGTCGAGAGAGCTCCGCGAGCCCTTGGATGACACGCGCGATGGCGATGCTGACACTTCCCTCTCCTTCTCCTTCTTGTAGTGGTCCGGCGTACGGATGATGCCCGTCGAGAACGTCGGTTTGAGCTCCATCTTCGGCGTCGAGTTCGTAGAGGGATCGGTCGAGCGACGGTTCGGAACAGGCGACGTGGTGTTATTCCTGTGGCCATAGTGGACCTTGTTCCCTTCCTCATCCTCCTCCTCCTCAACGTCGTCTAGCGTCCGGGGATTCCAGATCCACGGCGTCTTAATGTCGTCGGGCAGCGTCCCGCTCTCGTACAGTACCTCACTACATGTCCGATCAGGCGTCTGATAAGTAGATGAATACGAAAGCACGTACGCTGGCACCATGTTCGTCAGCCCTAACGGGTTGTCTGAGAGCTTCGTTGCGAGATACTCGGCACTTGGAGGTCGAGGTACTCGTTTGTATGGGTTGTATGACGCTTGTTGTTGTTGCTGCTGCTGCTGCTGTGGCTGAGCGGCCTGCTGGGAAGCCTGGGAGTGCGGCTGCTGCTGTTGCGGAGGCATCCACTGCTGGCTTGGGATCCAAGGCACGTACCGCGCCTGCGAGTTCGCGGCGGGGTTATAGGCGGGGTTGTACTGCCAGTAGCCGGCATTCCACTGCTGAGGATTCACCGCCACGTTCGAAGGCATCGGCGGCGCGCCCGGAAACGGTGGGGGTGGTAGTTGGGACCATTGCGGGTTCGATGGATACACTGCGCGTGCCTGCTGTTGGGTCTTCGCCTGCGATTGCGATTGGTGGGGTATAGAATACGAAGTAGGATAGGCGGGCGCTGCGAAGCTTGCCATGGGATGGCGTGGGTTGATTATATTTTGCTTCGACATTGTCAGCGTGGTGGCGAAAGAATGAGCTTTAGATTACCTTGCCCGTTCTTCTATAGCTTTTGAATAAGACAAAAGAGGAGATTTCATGCACAGAAGGTACATGGATCAACAAGGATTCCTTCTTGTTGACAATGGGTGTTGGGAAGAATTGCCAGACCCTAACTGCACAGCCATAGGCCAGGGAGATTCAGACTCCGAAATGACTCAGCTCCGTGGTTCTACAAGGCTCTCGAATCATCTCTAATCCCTTAGAGTCCTCACGACTACTCATCTAGTTTATAAAACATAGGACGGCCCGTCTGTGTTGTTCGAAGTTTTTTTTCCGCACCGAATTAGGTATTCATGGTTGAGAGTCCGTCGATCTTTGCTGTTCGGCATTGAATTCCGCGTTCGGAGATTTAATTATCGGCAAACACCGATTAGATGCAGCCAGACGCCACCACAGTCCGCCTTCAGGCAACTGACACTCCTAAACGGTGCATAGCTGCCGGACTGAAGACGAGGAGACCTTTCCAAAGACTGCGGCAGAGGTAACATTGACCCGTATGGCTGTTCCCAGACGGCATGCGGCGTTGTTCTGCCTCGTTGCAACCCCTCCAGGGGTTCGATGTCGTCTGCCTTGTTCGACCAGCTCCCCTTCAACATGGTAAAATTATCCTTGTCTTCCAGTCTTCATCATTGTACAAGTTCGATGAACCAATGTAGCACAATAGGCCTGGCATCGCGACGCACAGCAGCGGCACTTCTCCCACTTCTTTCTCACAAGCGTCAAGAAGGATTTACACAGCACAGCAATACTACTGTGGGACTTCGACTGAGGGAAGTGAAGATCGTAGGCTTCTTTTGCAGTGCGACGACAATGCCCGTGTGCGGTGTGCGGCTTGCGGTCTCCAGTAAGCAGCACACTTGGCGCAGCTGCGCATATTTGGGTCGTTCGCGCCACCAGGGCGGGTAGGAGAGCGAGTGAGAGTACACGGAGTCGAGAATCGAAGGAAGATCTGCATTGCTTCCCTTTGACGGCGTCTGCCGTCGCAAGTCTGCATAAACCGGGTCGCTAAGCACATACACACAGGGCTCGGATGATCCCCGCGCTTGGCTGTCTGAATGAAATGGAAGCAGCTGAGCGCACGCTGGAGCCAACTCGGGGGGATGCGGAAGGTAGACTATCCTGTGAGTCTCAGTAATCATATTTTCTACATTTCTGTTAATTGCCTGCTTCTGCACATCGTAGAAAGGGTTTCACGCACAGGCGGTCCGGCAATGCCGCCACTTACGCGCTTCCCATAAATGGAATAGGCGCCTACAAGCAAATTCATTAAGCGCTTAGCTGCCAGCATCCCACACTAGAGCTTCTAGCTCCTCGCATATGTCTCATTACATCACCGCGAGGCGTGTTCTTGATTCGCCGGTAAAGAAAAATACGTACGTGGCCTCACCACTGCAGGGAGGCTAAAACCTATAAAAGCCCACGACTTTCTTCCTCTATTCCTCAGTCGAATAACCCACTTCGTCTTTTCAAACACTCTCAACGAGCTACCCAAGCCACCCACACTCTCTTTACACTCCTTCAACATGTTCTCCAAGGTCGCTCTCTTCACCGCCGCCACCATGGCCGTCTTCGTCGCCGCTGCCCCCGCTCCCCAGGGTGGTATCAGCAACTCTTGCAACACCGGCCCCGTCCAGTGCTGTATGTTTCAGTATTTTGTTGAATTATAATTGGCACCGTCTCTGATCATCGTACTTGTCGCAGGCAACTCTCTCTACGAGAGCGAGTCCGAGCAAGGAAACATCCTCAAGACACTCGTTGGCATTGCTACGGGCCCTATCGGCGCCTTCGTCGGGGCCCAATGCTCTCCTATCTCTGCCATTGGACTCGGAAGCGGAGCGTCTTGGTTCGTTTATTTTCTTCGTTTATCTGTGAGGTTTTGCTCACAATGCCATCAAATACAGCAACAGCCAGCCCGTCTGCTGCTCGAACAACAAATTCAGTACGTTGTGCTTTCTTTCGCCGCAGGACGATGACTAACGCTCTATGTAGACGGTCTTGTCGCTGTTGGCTGCTCTCCCGTCAACCTCAACCTTTAAGTGACGAAGGGTAGCTGTCAGCAGAAGAGCCATAGGATGCCTTGGTCGAGGAGAATCTAGCACCGTCACTCACTATCTATCATACATAATTGCTATGACTACAACGTCTTAATGCGAGCAGTTTACACTTCTAGAGAATTTCTGAGATTCTGAGAACAAGTTCGTGTTAACTGCTAGTGTAGCTGCTTTAAATTCCAGTTGTCATGGACTCATTGGTTAGATTTTCCAGAGAGTAGTGGGTACCATTTCTGACAAAGAAAACTAACACCACTGTCTATGCTTTCGAATGCCTGCTTCTGGATCTGTGTGATGGTGGGAAACCTGTATCGCAGCATCTGAGCCAAATGTAACTAAGTCCATGAATGGTTTGCTCGCATTGTTTGATGCCTTGTCCATGGACTTCATTCAGTGCGAGAATGCACTCTTGATGTAACTCGATGATATTTCCCTTTCAGCAGGTGCTCCCATTATCTGTGATCCCTGCAGAGAACCAATTTTACCAATTCTTGGATTTGGAAGTGAAGTAACTAGTCACCATCATGATCAGGCTCAACATGCTGATACAATGAAATTGGTGTGACATTGCTTCATTCTGTGCACCATTATCGTTGTGCATGTAATTTCCCCTATCTAAATCTATAAGTAATGCATCCATATTCAGCCACTCTCATCTTTCTGCCCTTTGCGCTTGAGACAATGTACAAAACCATAGATCAAGGAGGAGCTTGCACACACATTAGGTCATGGACACAATGTCAGAAGTGCTCGGTAGCTACCATCCAGTTATTGATTCATGCCATATTAAGTCATAGATAGACTTGTTGTGAGAGGTGAAGGTTGCATGGAAGAGGCCCGTCTATAAGTTGTGTAGAATGCAGGCAGAACTCAACTTCTTGAAAACGGAAGCTCACTCAACTCTTCTTCTCCCTGCTCTGCCAAATTTGTGTAAACATGTTTTGTTCAGCTGCCACCCACTTCCTTGCAGCGCACCACCCAGCTTAAGTCAAGTAAATGGCATGCCCACCATTGAGATCAACATGGGATCCAATGACAACTTCGTCCTGTACCTGTGTAAGCGCCCCTATTTCTAAAAATAACACATTTTTGTGGTCCCGTTGATTCGTCTTTTCCCCCTTCGCTCTTGAGGCTTGCACAGGTGCCGCAGGCCGCCAGGTATCGATTTAGTTTCATGTTATTAGGTACTGAGAGCAGAGCTCGAAAGGAGTGAAGTTGATATGAAAGACATGCGCCAGCAGACTCTGGCTCCGCTGCCCAAGTCTGCATGTCTGTGAGACATGTAGAACCTCGACTCATCTTTATTTCACTCCTCACTCAACTCTTCCTCTCCTTGTCCCAGCGCCAAATTTTTACACGTGTTCCGTTTGCATTCTGTCTACCTTCTGTCCCATGTTCAAAGTTTCTGTCCATTTTACACCCCTCCTCCTCGTTCCCTACTTCCCGGGACCCGATCCGTTTGCCATTTGATACCAATATGATCGTATCTGATGGAATGATACTTTGGAAGCAAAGTGAAAATTGAAATCAGCCAACGGGACGCGGAAGCAGTTCGCGTTCGGGATCGGTGAACGCGTCCGTGTTATTTGGCCTTGTTAGCTCTATTGTTCTGTTGATTATCGAGCTGGACGTGGTTTCTGAGACTCTAGCTTGTTCGTCGCTTTCTACGCCCTCTTCCTCCCTTCCCTCCTCTCGACTCTGCCTCCGTCGTCCCATTTCTGGGGCTTCCCTTTTCCGTTCTCCCCCTCGTTCGAGTTCGTGGCCTTGAAGAGCGTTGCAGCACGTCTCTGAACTTGGCACGTTAGTCACACCGAGCCACTGAGCCACTTCACCTGCTTTGCCACTCAGCCACTCGACCCACGCCGGCACTTCGCCACTCGGCCACGATTTCGTTTCCTATTTCTAAGTGGGAATAGGACCTTTTCAAGGTTCAAACGTTCACGGGCTAGACCCACCACCACCGCTACCACCACTACGATTAGGCGGAGGCACAACTGCGCACTAGCTCGTTGTTGGCTATAGTCTTCGCGCTTGCACCCACATCCACATCCACGCCTCCGACTCCGGTTGGCGAGAGTCTACTCATAACGAGTACCACGACCAGAGGACACGAGACACAAGGAGCAAACACAGGACAAGGAGTAGGAACAGGATACAGGACGAAAGAGCAAGGACACTAATGCCAGAAACACTCGACCGCGCCCTCTCCTCACTGTCCATCCACTCGACGGATTCACAGCAGGAGGACGACTGGGACCGCTCGCTCACCATTGATTCAAATGGTGCCTCCACCTCAACACAACCCCCGAATGCAAACGCGACAGTCTCCCTCCTCACCAGCACGACCCCGCGCAACTCCATAGTCTTTCCGGCCGACACCAACCTCACGCCTGGAAGGGCGACGCGGTATAGCTCGGACGAGGGGGTCCCTGAGGAGATCAGGGAGAGTGGGAGGGCGGAGGGCAAAGGGGGGAAGAGGACGCTGAGCGAGCTGCTGCGGCTGCATTCGGAGAAGGGCAGTGGGAGTGGGGGCGTGTTTAGCGCGGAGGAGGCGGCGCGAATCGCGGATGTGCTGGGGCAGTGGGTGAGTACACTTTTTTTTGAGTTGGTTGGGGTTTCTCCGAGGCTTGCTCAGTACCGGGCTTTCTTCGTTGCGTCCCTTTCTTCCCATCCTTCATATGCTCCGAGGACCCGAGCTAACACCACTCTTCCCCCCTCCTTCCTTGATTCTACAGATAAACGCCTCATCATCGCCATACGAAGGCGACGCGTGCGCGGATGACGACTTCTTCGCGAGAGCCGCGCAGGCACAGGACGACCTTTCTTATGGCTCGCTGCCATCTGAGCGCAGACCCGACGGTGGTCTGGCAGGGAGGCCGAGAGGGAGGAGTGAGAGCTCGAGTTCGAAGCTGAACGTACCGGTGAATGCTGGCTCGAGGCCCCCGAGTTCGTTGGGTGTATCGTCGTAGGCGAGCCTATCGTCGCTGTCTGGTAGGACCTTCCCCGCTCGTTGGCCGGCTAGCTTGGTCGACGAGCGAGACGGGGCTTGAAGGCAGACTCAAAAGTATCAAGATACGAAGGAGAAGGACTTTTTGGTGTTTATTTATCCTCTTTGGTCTCGGCTTTCTTCCGTGCTTGCGTTTAGGCCTTGGCGCGCTTTTTGTGTTTCGGTTCCCCACTCACATTCTACCCCCGTCATCCTGCATCTCACATCCTGCCCCTCATCCTGCATCCCAATCCGCATCCGCATCCTATAGCATCCTGCACCCACTTCCTCATCGCACCTGGATCTGGCCCCTACCACTTCGCCTTGCGGCCCACGACTCGTCTGCGCGGCTCCACACGCATCGATTCTGTCGCAGATTGCAGGCCTGCATCCCCACCTCCACCACCTTCCCCGCCCACCCTCGCGCACACCCTATCCCTCCGTCTCTCCACCCTTGCGCTTACTCTTCCGTATACTTTTATTTGGCTACGACCCCGTACGACCCACCCACGACGCGTTCACGACCTCTCACGACCTTTGACGACCACCCTTATGCTTACGGTGTACATGAGTTAATGACCGCTTTTCTTTTGGATTGTTTTTTCTTTATCTTACCTCTCGCTTTCTTTGCTTGCACTTGCATTTACGTTGAATTTCTTGTGGAATAGCTTTTGGCTTTGGGTTGAATTGGGTTGGGACGTAGGGGTTGTGTACGTAGAGTAGAGTGGTGGGGTGTGGAAGAGGTAGAAGAAGAAGAGTATAATAGAGAATGTTTAGTGCTCTCTGTCGTGTCCTTTCCTCGACTTTCAATGAAGCCGTTCACCTATTCATAAGAACGCGAAGAAAACGCGATCACGTGTTCTTACACCTACGCTTGAAGTTCAAGTTGAGCCACTGCTCATTTGTTTTTGATCTCTTCGACGACGACGACTTTGTTATCTTGTCAAGACTCGACTCGACTCGCGAACTCAGAAGGCTGCAAGGCAAGTCGGTCAAAATGAAAGCCTGAGTGAACCTCCGAGTCACTCCATCCAAAATTCACTCTCGCATCGACTACGTACGTCGTTAATAGTTATCTTGGTATACGTCAAGTTGAGGCCCCCGAATCTCCGTTCAATTCTTCGCCGTCAGAGGGGGGTTCGGCGCTAAAACGTGAAGCTTGCTATAGCTAGGCGCTTAAGTATCGCTAAAGGCTGATGCAAGCCCGGGCCAAAACACTCCAAGCCCAACCGAATAGGCGTCTAAAATATCAACCTTTGGTCCTCTCATCTCGGTCATTCTAAGGTTTACTCTAGCGTGATCGGCGAGCGAGACGCCTCCCTCTATGCTCGCCCCCAAGTCATCGTGTCTACGTCGGCCGCCAACCTCGTTCTCGATTCCAAACCCCAATTGGCCCACGAAGTGCCGCGCACCCACTCCAGCCCCTCGAATTAAACGTAAACGCCAGTGCATATGCCTGGACCACACTGTCTCTCAGCGCTCTCAAGCTGCGGCCGCCAGCGTGCTCTGCGCTCTCGGATCCTCTCTTCGCTATGTGACCCACGCCTTACCTCCATCACCTTCCCCCGCGCATGACCCCTCCTGAATCCTTGCTCTTACTCTTCGTATACTCTTTTATTTGGCTACGACGCCTTATGACCCCACCCACGACGCGCTCTCGACACACTCACGACACACTCACGACCTTTGACGACCACCCTTATGCTTACGGTGTACATGAATTAATCTTTCTTTCTTTTTCTCGTTTCGATTTTATTCTTTCTTTTACCTCTGGAATTGGCTCGCTTCTCTGCACTTAAATTTGCGTTGAATGTCTTGTGGAATAGCTTTCGGTTTGGTTTGGTTTGGGTTCAATGGGTTGGGAGGTGAGGTAGAGGGTTGTGTACATACGTAGAGTAAAGTAGAGCAGCGTTGGAGTAGGAGGAGGAGGAGGAAGAGGTAGAAGAAGAAGAGTATAGTAGAGAGTGTTTAGTGCTTGCTTTCTCTCCTTCCTGTCTGCTCGCTTTCTCCTCTAGATCTCCTCTCCTTTCCCGGGCCCTCTCCTCTCCCTGTCCGCCTACTCTTCCTCCGAGCCCTCGTTTTCTGCAATCCTCCCCTGTCCCCGCCTCGCCAACCCTCCTCGCCCGCGACTTGTCCTCCAAACCTCTACAAACGCGAGCCCAAGCCCCGAAAGTCTAGGCTCGCCGCTCAGGGCTCAACCTAATCATCGACATGAGCACGCCAAGAAAACGCGCTAGAGCAACGCGATCACGTGTCTAACTTTGGCGCATGTTGAACTGCCGGATTGGGCACTAACACTTGGCACGAGACGAGGGTGAGCCACTCGTTTGTTTTTGATCTCTACGTCCTTGTCTTTTCGATTCGACTTTGGTTTATCTCGACTCTACTCGTCAACGTAGAAAGCGACAAGGCGGGCAAGAAGAGAAGAAGGAGAAGAAAGTTTTTTTGGATAGATCGCTTAAGAGAAGGAGGGAGAAGCGAGAGGACGAACGAACGAGAACAACGACAACGACAAGCACAACCACTACAGCCAACCACAACATACCAGATCGCGATGAGCGAGAACCGACGCCCTACCATGGACATCGACATCACACTCCCCAACAGTTTTTCCACCGCCTTCCCCACCAACACCGCGCTCAGCACGCCCAAGCCCACCAAGCCGAAGCATGTGGACTTTGCAGCGCTGTCGTTAACTGGGGGGCGGAAGGCTCGGTCACGAGCTGCAGCTCCGACTGGGGCAAAGTCTGCAGGGAAGGGAGCGGGGGCGGGGGCGAAAGGAGAGAAGGAAAAGAAGGGCCAGAAGAGGAGGGTGAGCGTCCCGATGGCGACGCGGCGCTCCAACCTCGCCGAGTCTCTCTCGGAAGAGGAGGATGGGGAGGGGGAGGATGGTATGGACGTCGACGTCGACGAAGATGAACAGCAGAGGAAGGAACTGGAGAAAAAGGAGCGCACCCACCTGGCGGTGGAGGTGGACACGCAGCGCATGCAGCTGATCAGCCCGCCGCCGGAGGAGGTGTTGGTACTTGAGAGGGGGAGGAGTGTGAGCGGGCATGGGTACGGGCATGGGGTGAGTTCGCGTTTCTGTTCTGTTGTTCTGGGGAAGGAGGTGTTTGGAGGAAATGGGCTTTGGTTG